AAGGCCACAGGACTTTGTTATGACCCAAACAGTTTGTACACTCTAAATTTGTAACCTATAAGAATTTATCTATGAAAACATGCTTACGACTAGCTGCTATATAAGACGTTTGAGGATCAATGGCTCCAACGCCAGCAGTACCATTTAATATAGTATGCAGTCAGTGGTATGTTTGTTTGTCTTGACCAGAAAGTGGTTTCTTTTAAAAGTACAAGGAACTCACAGCACCTGGTGTGTGTGTGTGTGTGAGTGTGTCTATGTGTCTGTATTTTCTGTCTTTTCTGTTATTACAGGAAGAATTGTGATCTTCCCACATTTTTGTCCTTTATAGTGGTTGTTCTCTAGAGTTTGGCATTGTGGTATACTACCTTTGATTGCAGGATCCAATCAGAGTTGATGTACTCAGAAATCCATTGATGTGATTAATGGTCTCCTAATCATACTTTTATTTCCTAGATTAGACTTATTTCCTGTAGTTTCATAATTTTTGAGTCATATATTGAATTGTTCTTTATAGGGGGCCTGAAATCCTTGTGAGTAGTTTTAGTCTGAAATTTGCATGATTCTTTTCATTTTCTTTTGTTTCTTTTGCTTGAAGAAAATGAAATTTTGATCATTTTTTTGAACTCTGAATGCTATAACTGGCCAACCTAGTATGAACTTTTTTTATAACATGAAATGCATATATTTTTTTTCCACCAGCACTAGATCCAGAAGTCTCCCCACAAGTTTCCACTAGTCTGGTTTTTATTCTCCTCAAAAGTAAAATAAAACATTCTCAGATTCTACAAGTAACAAGAAAGTGCACCAGGAAATGACAGTACAGGAAATGTGACTGAGCATTCACTCTTTTTAAAAAATATATTTTATATTGATTTCAGAGAGAAAGGGAGAGGGAAAAAGAGATAGAAACATCAATGATGAGAGAGAAACACTGATCAGCTGCCTCCTGCACTGCCCCACACTTGGGATCAAGCCTGCAACCTGGGCATGTACCCTGACTGGGAATTGAACCATGATCTACTGGTTCACAGGTTGATGTTCAACCACTGAGCCACTCCAGCTGGGTGAGCATTCACTCTTTACAATTGAATTGGTCACAGGATTGGCTAGTAAACACAATCTATTGAATGAAAAAAATGACAACTAAAATCTTTGGGGCCTTTAAATATATTTGAAGATTATGGGCACCTTAATGATTTTTTTATCTCTTACCTTTTTGAAATGATGATATGCACTTGAAATTAGGAACACTCATATTTAGCGATTGCTTTAATATTTGCTTTGTTTTCAACAGTGCCCTTAAAGATAGCCGATTTCCCCCAATGACAAGGGATGAACTGCCACGGCTCTTCTGCTCAGTGTCTCTGCTCACTAACTTTGAAGATGTTTGTGATTATTTGGACTGGGAGGTAAGACTATAGAAAAATTTTGAAGAGAAATGAAGATAACTTGTGAGTGATTTTTTAAAATTAGGCCCAGAAAATAACTCTTTCAGCCTATTCTTTATTATTGGGAAGTTAGAGAGTAACATGGATAAATAGACCTCAGAGCTGATCAATGAGGAATTTTTTTAAGGCAAAGTACTATGTGTTGTTTTAATCCAAAATTGAATTTGCTCTTCAATTTTATCCTATTATTTCACCAGATAACTTCATAAAAGCTGTTAATAAATAGTAGGAAAGACTGATTAGAATTTATTCCTCCTCTTACAACCTGGTACACTTTGATATAACTGCCACCAAGTAGTTAATTGGTCAGAGGATACATCGAAGAATCAAGGAGCAAAAGAGTTAGGATAACACACTACTTGGGGGAAATGTACCAGCTTGTGGGTAATGACAGGGTGTTAGTTAATTAGTTAAATTATGCCAATTCATTCTTGGCCACCTTAATTTATGCACTTAAACACACAAATAACATTAAGGTTATAATATCTCTGTGCATTGCCATTATCGGAGTAGTCTCTATTGATCTTATTTTTATTCTTTAATATGTGGGGTTGGAGTTCTTAAGGAAGTTCAAAGGTTGTCACCATGATTTGCTTTGGTGGTTGGGAAGAGATGGTTAAGTGTCTGTCTATGAAATTTTATACACAGACATGCTCATATTATTGAATGCCTACTGTGTTTAGAGCACTGGGCTATAGGTAAAAAAGTACTAAAATTTGGTCCACACTATAAAGCATCTTCTAGTCTAATAGGAGAGAAAAGAAATATACACAAAGCACAAAGAAATAAGTGAATAAAAATAAGAATAAACAATCTATAAAAATAAAACATTGGGAATTTGGTGATACACATAGCATTCTCTTACACACACACATAAATGATATGATTGTATTATTATGATATAGCATGTTTTAATTCTACTGCCTTTTTAGAATGCCTATCCCCCATAGTAACTGAGATAGTTTGCCTTGTGGACAGATCACTGTCTTGATAGTTAATTGGATTTGAGTTTTATTTTTTGCTTTGCCCTGATTCCTAGTGAGACTTTGGACAACTTCCTTCACTGCCATTCAGTTTTTCCACAAACAAAATAAGACATTTATAAAGTTCATAAATCTTCATTTGAGTAAACTTCTATGATATAAATTATTGCTGTTATGTCACAGCTATTTTAAAAATTCTGCAGAGAGTAGGGTGAAAGAGTTCCTTCTGGGTTTTGCTGTAGGAGTTTTTATGAGCAATATCAGAATATGAAAGCATCTTAAGTTTTTTTGTAAAGGAAAAAATAAAAGTAATTGATAGTATTGATCCTAGCAAAGTTGGAATGTGTAAAGCCTTTTATGTAATTAAACATTCATAATTGATTGTTCACTATAAATTTATAGTTCCTATTTGAAACTTTCTTAAAGAGAAGTCTACCAATATTATAGAAATATTCCACAGTACTTTACTTTTTTTAAATCCTATTCTGATTTTTTAATGGATTTTTAGAGAGAAAGGGAGAGAGAGAGAAATATTGATGTGAGAGAAACATTGATTGGTTGCTTCCTATATGCACCCTATAGAATCCACAACCTAGGTACGTGCCCTGACATGGAATTGAACCCACAACCTTTTGTTGTACAGGGACAATGCTCCAGCCAACTAATCCACCTGGCCAGTGCTCTGCATTGCTTTATTTTTAATAAACCCAAATCATATCCCTTAATTACAGTTAAGGCTACTCCTTCTCTAACAAATTTTTCTTTCTGCTTTCTGAATTTCAAGGTGCTATGTTGTGGTGAGGGTGGGAATAATAACGGGGAAAGCCTGATATCTAGGGGATGACTGAGCTATAAAACACTTTTACCCTTAATTGCAGCCACCGAGTTGGAAGTATAGTAGTTCAGGTGTGTGTGTGTGTGCACGTGCACGGGCGTGCATGTGTGTGCATGTGCATGAATGTATATTGCATAAATGTGTGTGCATGTGTTTGTGGGGAAGGAACAATGGGAGAATCCAACAGTTGTTAAATAGGTATGGGTGAACACAGAGTCCACCATCATCTTCTTTAGCCCACTTTAAGCATTGTCTACAGCTAAAATTAACCTTGATATTATTGGGTTTTTATGTTCATGAGATGTTATCAGCTTTACTTTGGGAGGGTGAGAGTTTAAGCACTTAAAATTGGTATGGTATACTCTTTCAGGCTGTATTTATCCTCTCTGGTTACTATCTGCCAGTTAAGATTCTATATATTGCTTCTACTTAGTGTTATAAAGACTTAAGTATTGGTGTCTATTTAGTGATGCTTTCCTGTTAAAGTATCAACAAAATATACAAACATATATTTAGTACTTTAGATATGTAAGCATTTGAAAGTGAATTAGGTACTGCTAGAATGGCTTTGCTAAAAGGAAAAGTATGTACTTTTCGGTTCTTAAAGTGTTTTAGCATAAGAGAAATTTGTTCCCAAAGAGTAAGGGTGAAAATTACTGTGATTTGGAGTTAAAAAAAAAAACAAAAAACAACTGTACCATGGTCAGTGATTGGTAATGGAATGGTATTATTTTGGGATGATGTTATAAGGGTTATCATTAATAATTCTAAAAAAGCATTGCTACTTTATACACAGAATGGTCGAGTTGAATTAAAGGTATTTTTTAACAAAGTATATGTCAATAAAATTCTACTCCTAGGTATATACCCAAAAGAAATGAACACAGAATCTTGGAACAAAAACTTGTACTTGAATGTTCATAGCAGCAGTATTCACAAAAGCCAAAAGGTGGAAACAACCCAATCTTTATCAACAGATTAAGGGATAAACAAAATGTGGTATATCAATACAATTTAATATTATTCAGCCATAAAAAGAAATGAGGTACTGATACATGCTACAATGTGAGTGAACCTTGAAAACATTATGCTAAGTGAAGGAAGCCAGACACAAAAGGCCACATACTGTATTATTATATTTTTATGAAATATCCAGAATGGGAAAATCCATAGAGATCAATTACATATTAGTGGTTACCAGGAGATGAGGGAAGGGGTGAATGGGAAATGCTGCTTAATGGATACAGGGTTTCCATTTGGGGTGATGACAAAGTTCTGGAACTGGATAGTTGTGATGGTTGTACAATGTTGTGTATATACTTGATGCCACTGAATTGTATACTTTAAAATTATTAAAACTGAAATTTTATTTTATATGTAGTTTACCACAATAAACAGGCAGGTATGCAAATGCATAGACATTTAAAGCTATATTCCATAATACTATAGTAATTTTAATTTATTGAAGAAAACATAAAATAAAAAAATAGAAAAAAATGCAAGCCATTCATAATTGCACCATTCTGAGATATCCACTCTTAACATTTTGGAATATTTCTTTTTTTAAATATATTTTATTGAATTTTTTTATAGAGAGGAAGGGAGAGGGATAGAGAGTTAGAAACATCGATTTGAGAGAAACATCGATCAGCTGCCTCCTACACAACCCCTACTGGGGATGTGCCCACAACTGAGGTACATGCCCTTGACCAGAATGGAACCCGGGACCCTTCAGTCCACAGGCCGACCGACGCTCTATCCCCTGAGCCAAACCGGTTAGGACTGGAATATTTCTTTCAATTATTTTTCCGTGTCTTTGTATCTATAAATCTGCATATTTGTTTATGTAACTGAGATTATATTGAATATACAATCTATTAAAAAGAGAATTATGAGGAAGTCTTTGTTTATGGTTTATCTTTGTATATAAGTTAGTTATTTATATAGCAAATTTCCTTTATGAGGAAATTGTCTACATTATGAAAGTACACATTTCATTTTGAGAAATTTCACACTGTCAAATAGCTACAACTTTTCTTCTAAGAATGAAATATTGTGTTCATCATAAGTATCTAATTTTAACCTGAAATGCAAAGTGCTATATATGAGTATGCCAAAGGGAGAAACAGGAGACAATTACAGAATTTTGATAGAGAATTTTAAGTCAAAGATCAGTAATGAGTATGTTTCACATAAGCAGAAGCCTCTAACATGGGGCTTTTCTGGTGGAAGTACAGTTTGAAAGTTGACCTCCTCTGGTGAATTGTAATTCACCAGAATTCCTGATTAAAGGGAGGAAAATGCCCAGATCAAAGCAGAGCGAGGGCAAAGTCTAAAAGTCCCAAAGCATAGTGGTAGGTAACTTTGATAAGACAGACATCCCTATGGCCATAAAGATGAGGGATGTGACCAGTGGTAATAGCCACCTAATTTTTAAATGATCAGCAAACAAGTGAACTGCCACAGGGTTGGCTGTCTGCTATCTTACTCTCTTCTTCATGCAAGGTTTTAAAACCAGCCTATTTTGGAACTCTCTTTTGGTAATATGTCTCTAATATCACTTAGTAGGAAAGTAGGGCTTATATCAGACATTGCTTTAGAGGCTAGAATGCTTGTATTTGATAATATATGATAAATGGTTTTACAAGTGGATGTAATTAATTTCAAGTCAATGTTGAATTGGCAGAATGATCAGTAATGCCTCCATGTGTTGTATTTCTTCAAAATAGTAATTACCGCATTTAAAATGAGTGTTTACAGGTAGCTTCTCAAGGAGCCTGGGTAGTCATTAGACAACAGCAAAACTATCCACAAAAGGATTTAAAGACAAATTGGAATAGTGGCCCCACCCTTTTGAGAATGGCTGATTATTGATAGCATCATGATCTCTTTAATTGCCCTGGTAGATATGAGAAGGATGAAAAGTGAATGATTTGGAGGAAAAAAATCATTAACTGATAAATTGAAATGTCTACCTGTGAGGCTAAAATGGTTGTCAAATGAGGAAAATTGCTCCCCTAGGGAGAAATCTGAAGTGATATGCCTTGTGTTTGAACATAAAAATTTATTAGCATTGTTCTGTGTTCTTCAATTGACAGCTTTTCTTAATTCTGAATGACAAGATGATTGACAGAAACAAAGAAAAGCTCATGAAGCATGCTGGAGTCCTCTAACATGATATGTAGCCTAGAACTTGTATAGTTACACTCTTTGGGAGCCATGTTTCTTAATTTTAAAGATCCAGAAGGATATAAAGCCAATAATACCACAGTAATTGGAGATTAACTTGAGGGGTGATTCTAGGTGTGTTATCTTGTAACTGTTCATTTTCAAGATGATATAAGTGAATAAGCTTTTTGTTTGTATAGCAAGTATCCTACCAGTGGTCTTCTGGGAGCTCCTATAGCAATTTGCTGACAGAAGATAAAGTATTTTTCTAAACTATAGTGAGCCATCTTTTATTTCAGTGTTTAGAAACATGATCATTTTGAAGGCATGAGAAAGAAATCGTTTATATATTCTGAAGTAGACCAATAGATTATATTTCAATAGATTAATAAAATTTTTAAAAACCATGGGGCACTTTCTGATGATATATATATATATATATATATATATATATATATATATATATATATATATATTGCTATCACTTGGGCAAAACATTGTGGTCCTAAAACAGACCATTCCTTTTTAACACTCAACACTTAGGCAAAACATTGTGGTCCTAAAACAGACAATTCCTTTTTAACACTCAACACTTACATGGCATCAACCCATGCTGGGTGGGGCTGACCAGCATGATTCTTGTGTGATGTCAAATCTGTCCCTGAATTTTAGAGCTAGAACCCAATCCCCTAGTCTTACTCTGCCCCTAAAGGACCAAAGCATCTGTTGTTGTACGTGAGCTGGTTGGAGTCCTGGTACTGAGAGAGCTGCACTTCACTTTAAAAACAACATCAAAACACACCTCTTGAGCGATCACAGCTCCATTTCTGACGTATTTACTTGCAGCTAATAATAGCATGCTTTTGTAACAACCTTCATGAGAGTAAACAGATGAAATGAATAAATTGGCTGCCATTATTATCTCTCATACATTTTAGAAGTGCATGTTCAGCTTTTCATCCTCTTTCCCTTAAAGATTTACATTTTCTAGCTCCTCTTAATGTACTACTGAAAACAAAGTTCCCATTCACATACAGATGGTTAGCATGACTCACTAAGTCATTAAGTGAAATGACTTCTAATTGTATATGTTCTGTCCACCCCCTTACTTATTTTCTCCAACTATGATATACACCATGTTTTGCTTCTCTTCTAACTTAAGATTCCTGCCTTTAAAATATACTTATCTATGTCCTAGATATATGCAGCCTATATCTATATGAAGCCTGTATATATATGTGTGTGTATATATATATATATCTAGATAGATATAGATGCATGAAGCCTATATCTATATGAAGCTTATAGAGATGTCTATATATATATATATACATATATATATGAAGCCTATATACACACACACGTATACACCTATATATATATAGATCTATGTACATACAGATACATATAGATCTATATATAGGTTATAACTATATGTATATATAGGTTATATATAGTTTATATACACATCTAGATATATAGGCTTCATATATACATATGCATCTATAATAATAAAAGCATAATATGCTAATTAGACAGGACAGCCAAATGACCTTCCAGATGTCCTTCTGGACATCCTTCCGGATGACCTTTTGGATGAAGTTGGGGCTGCAAGGGCCGAGCCCCTTGCATGAATTTCATGCATCAGGCCTCTAGTGTGTGTGCATATGTGTGTGTGTGTATGTGTGTGTGTGTGTGTATCTAATCTAATAATAGACAAACATGGTAATTGACCATGCCTCCGCTATGCTTCCCATTGGCTAATCAGCAGGATATGCAAATTAACCCAACCAAGATGGTGGCCGTCAGCCACACAGCTGAAGCAAGCAGGAGGCTTGCTTGCTCCAGTGATGGAGGAAGCCAAGCTTCCTCCCTGCTGTGGCTGGGCTCTGAGCTCCACTCTATAAGCAACAAAGTTGCAATTATAGAAGCTAAACAAACCCAAGATACCTGCTTTCAGCAGGCCGTGGCCTTGGAGCTGGAGCAGCAACAAAGTTTCAATTATAGAAGGTAAATAAATCCCAGAATAAAAAGAAAAAAGAAAAAAAGGAGAGGCTGGGAGTTTCAGTCGCCGGCTTGGCCAGCCTGAAAACAGCCATCAGCCCCTCATCCAGACTGGCCAGGCACCCCAGTGGGGATCCCCACTCTAAAGGGGGTGCAGGCAGCCTGAAAATAGCCATCAGCCCCTCATCCAGGCTGGCCAGGCACCCCAGTGGGGACCCCCACCCTGAAGGGGGTGTGACCAGCTGTGCAAACAGCCATCAGCCCCTCACCCAGGCTGGCCAGGCACCCAAGTAGGACCTCCACCCTGATCCGGGACACCCTTCAGGGCAAACCAGCCGGCCCCCACCCGTGCACCAGGCCTCTATCCTATATAGTAAAAGGGTAATATGCAAACTGACCCTAACAGCAGAAAGACTGGTCACTATGACACACACTGACCACTGAGGGCAGACACTCAATGCAGGAGCTGCCCTCTGGTGGTCAGTGAGCTCCCAAATGGAGGAGCTCTGCTCAGCCACAAGCCAGGCTGATGGCTGCCAGTACAGCGGTGGTGGTGGGAGCCTCTCCGGCCTCCTCAGCAGCGCTAAGGATGTCTGACTGCAGCTTAGGTCTGCTCCCCGCTGGCAAGTGGACATCCCCTGAGGGGTGCCGGGCTACCAGAGGGATGTCTGATTGCCAGCTTAGGCCCAATCCCCCGAGGAGCAGGCCTAAGCCAGCAGGTGGTCATCCCCCGAGGGGTCCCAGACTACGAGAGGGCACAGGCCAGGCTGAGGGACCCGCCCCCCCCCCCCAGTGCACAAATTTTTGTGCACTGGGCCATATATATATATATATGCTTCATATATCTAGGAAAATGTTTTTAAATATTTTCTTAGGGACCTGAGATTTTTATATACGATGTTACTATCCTTAAGATAATTTAGTCTTTGTCCTGATGCTCTACTCTAAATGTTTTTCAAGTGCTGTGAAACATTGGGAAAGGAATGCTTCACGCTTCCTGGCACCTAGAAAGAATTTGCTGTGAATCAACAAGTCAGTGTATCAGAAGCCTAGGGAGGAAGTAACCGGAACAAAGTAAAGTAACTTCTAGAAGGTGATTTAATGCATAAAAATTTCCATTAGGTGTTGGTACTCTTAGTGAAATTAGCTGTGGTCCATTCTTATACCTCTCCCAGTTGCTTCCTGCTTTCTCCCATTGTTTTTTGGTGGGGGAACATTTTCCTGCTTTCCCCAAATCCACAAACTTTTCCAGCCTTTTCCTTAGTAGTCACATTCTAGTGTATTCTTTCCTGTACAGTGTGTGTGTGTGTGTGTGTGTGTGTGTGTGTGTGTGTGTCCCCAGCACTTAATAAAAAAGAGTCCTGTGTTTGGGGAGTAAGGAGACTCGAGTTTTTTTTCTGACTGCCACTACCCAGTTTGGTAACCTTTCTGGGTCCCTGTTTCCTGACAAGAAAGCTGGAAAAGTTGAACTAGATAATACCTAAGGCCTTTGGATGCTGACAGAGTGTGATGCTGTGAATCATCTTTTTAAAATGGCGTCTGTTTCATTTTACTTCCAGAGAATGAATCATCACTAGCCATTTAGAAGTCATAGGAGGTCCTTAACTTTTAAAATAGCCATTGGTAACTTAAATGTAGGCAACAAAAATAAAAAAAATAAAGTCTAATTTTTGAAATTGCACATTTTAGATTTCTTTTTCATAAAAGAATTTCCTTTAGGAAGAAAAATATTCTAAATCATAAATGCCTCTATTTTATTACTGTATCATCCCCTGTTTTAAGAAAACATTATGTGTATAATCTATATTAAGCAAATATATTTAGATAATGATTACTCATTTTACAAATAGATATTTTGCTTTGCAGAGGGACTCACTATAGGGTGTCTTTATTGTCTTCCTCATGACTTTAACTCATTTACATAAATTCAACTCATAATTTTTAGGAACAAATCTATTTTATAGACTGACTAAAACCATATTGAGTCAGATATTCAATGTATAATTCTAACCTTTATAAAATTTTTCTTAGTTTTTTATCAGGCAAACAATATTATTTTATACTAGACTAGAGACCCAGTGCACGAAATTCATGCACGGGCGGGGGGGGGGGGGGTCCCTCAGCCCAGCCTGTACCCTCTCGTAATTCGGAACCCCTCGGGGAATGTCCGACTGCTGGTTTAGGGTTAAAACCAGCAGTCTGACATCCCTCTTATAATCTTGGACCGCTGGTTCCTAACTGCCTCTGCCTGCCTGATCAGCCCTAACCGCTTGCCTGCCTGTCTGATCACCCCTAACTGCTCACCTGCCTGCTGATCGCCCCTAACCGCCTCTGCCTTGGCCCCCGCCGCTGTGGCTTCATCCAGAAGGACGTCCGGAAGGTCATTCGGCTTTTGGTCTAATTAGCATATTATGCTTTTATTATTATAGATGCCCAGTGCACAAAATTTGTGCATGGGGGCGGGGGGTCCGTCAGCCCGACCTGCACCCTCTCCAATCTGGGAGCCCTCGGATCGGGCCTAAACTGGCAGTTGGACATCCCTTTCCCAATCCGGGACCTCTGCCTCCTAACCGCTCACCTGCCTCCCTGCCCTAACCACTCTGCCTTCCTGCCTGATCCCCCTTACTGCCCTCCCCTGCCCGCCTGGTCACTCCTAAGAGCCCTCCCCTGCTAATCTTATCCCCTTCACACACAATTGTATTTGACTTCCTTATTGGCTTCTCCCTGTCACACAATTTTTCTCTCTCCTTTATGTAACACTTTTTTCCTACTGACTCAACATTTATAAACTTTTCTTTCCTCCATATTTCCTACTTCTGTTCCATCATCCTTCTTCCCATCTTTCTCCTACCCTCCCCACATTCCTTCTTTCCTCTATCTTTACCCCTGCCCTCCCTCCCCTTTTCCTTCCTACCCACCTTAATTTTTTTCTTCACTTTTCCCCTCAGACCTGCTTTGCTCCCTCTCCCATTTCTTCCTTCTGCCCATTCTCCTTTTGAGCTCTACTGGCTCCCCTTTAAATATTTTCTTTTCTTTTTTTTATATTTCTTTATTGATTTCAGAGAGGAAAGGAGAGGGAGAGAGAGATAGAAACATTAATGATGAGAGAGAACCATTGATTGGCTGCTTCTTGCACTCCCCCTACTGGGGACCTAGCCCGCAACCCGGGCATGTACCCTTGGCTGGAATCGAACCAGGACCCTTCAGTCTGCAGGCCAATGCTCTATCCACTGAGCTAAACCAGCTAGGGCTAAAACTTTTCTTCCCTCCCTCTTTCTCTCTCATCCACATTCTTCTCTAGTTACTTCCACTGTTTTAATATCTATCTACCTGCCTAATTACTCACTATCATTTATCTTTTTTCTTTTCTGACTCCTACTTTTAAAATCTGTCCCCAGTACACAATTATACTTGATTTTCATTATAGCTCCTACAGTTCACTCACACATCCTTTTTCCTTCTTTACCTCTGCACTCTACTGACTCCTTTATAAAGTTCTTCCCTCTCTCCTTTCCTTCTTAAAGCTTCCATTGGTGCTGGGGGGGGGGGACGCTAACCTGCTGCCCAGGGCTCAGCCCCAGCCAGGTGTTTGCCATCCCCCTTCCCTAGCCTCCCCGCCACTGTCCTGCTCCCATTCCCTGCCTTGGACGCCTGGCCCAGAGAGGGTGGCCGAGACCCGGGCACTGTTGCCGTGAAGCAGGAGCACCTCCACCCAGAAGGCCTCGGACCGTCCTCCACTCCATCCTGAGCCCATGGGCGCCTCCCCACCAACAGCCACCACTGCCCTCCTCCTGCTTTGGGGTGGGATTCCTCGCTCTGCGCTGCCTGCACTCCGCCCCTCGCTGGGCGCACCTGCTCCACGCCCCCCCCCTCCATGGTTGCCACCCCCTCCCACATGCAGTTTCCTTCCCTTTTACGTTCCTGCATCTTTTTCTTGTTCCCTTTCTGTATTTCTGTTTCTCCTCTCGGCCTGTCTGCATGCAGGCCTGCCCTCCTCTCCCTCTCCTTTCTTATCCCATCCTATTGTATCCTATCCTACCCCAGGCCTTGCAGCTGCCTGAGCAGAGGGCGGGGATGTGGCCTGATGATCTGGTCATGATGTGATGCTGTAATGGACAAATTTGCATATTCCTCTATTAGATTAGATTAGATTCGATTCGATTAGATTAGATTAGATTAGATTAGATTAGAAGCCCAGTGCATGAATTTGTGCACAGATGGGGGGGAGGGGACATGGGAGATTGGCCAGCTGGCCCCACCCCCGATGGGGGGGTAGTTGGGGATGGGCCAGCAGGGGGGAGGAGCTGTGGGAGGTTGGCTGGCAGGCCCTACCCCTATTGGGCCAGTTGGCCAGCCGCAGTACGCATCATAGCGACTGGTTGTTCTGGTCGCTTGGCTTTTATATATATAGATTAGGTACATTTGCCAAGAGGTGTTTTTTTCCCCCAGCCTTTGAAAAGCAAACTAATTCACATCTCTAGATTTTAAGAAAGTTTTCTAACTTTAGTTTCCTTGTCTGTAAATTCACTGCCTTCCTCATTCCCTTAAAAAAATACTGGATGGGGGTAGGAATGCATTTTTCTAACTTTTGATTAAAAGCAGGCTTTTTTATTTTAAGGTCACCTGTGTTGCCTGATCTTTCCTTGGAAAGCTTCAGGATGTTCCATTTTTAAGTAATGCACATTATAATTAATCATTACAGAGAATTGGTATGTTCCCCCCCCCCCCCCTTAATTGCACTCTTGAGCTGTCACTGGTTCTCTGTAAAATCATAATGTAAGGACAGTTTATTTCATTGCAAATGATATAAACATGTTTAGTTTCATAGCTTTTCAAAGCACTTCATAATTAACCATGCTTTATTTAAAATCTTAACTAATTCCTTAAAAGTTCATGGGGGTGATTATCGCTAGTTCAGGTATTTTAGAGCTGTGCGTCTGCTATTGGTTAAAATAAATGTTATCCAGATCATTGTTTAGTGGCCTTTGTGAAATAAATTGGCAGGCTTGTGTTCCTGACAGATAAGATGTCTAAGTCTCCTACATGAATCAAAATTGGCACTAATTGGTACTTTGGTAAGCTCTGAAAAAGTTAAGAATTGGTCCATGGAGACTGAACTAATTTCCAAGCTAAAAGTGACTAATTTGAAAGGGTTTTAGAGAAGGGCAACGTGTATGTATTTTGGTCAATGAGAGCTTTGCTGTTGTTTTTCACAAATTAAGCAACAGAAAAAAATAATCTCATGTGAGGTAGATGAAACATTTTTTATAGTAAGATATATTAAAAGGTTACTTGTGCCCAAGTGATGGAATTGCAATCAATTATACTTTTAATTCATTTTTCTAGTATTTTAAATTCATTTTTATATATTTTTTTCTGTTTCTAAAAGTGTCTCTCTTAAAGGAGATTTGAAATCAAGGACAGCTACAAGAACTGGTTAGACTATGGACAAAAACTTCCTAACATTATATATATATAGTCCTTCATGGTATCTCAATTCCTTCAGGAGATTAGTTTTTAAGTCACTAAAGCAAGAGTTGTCTCTAGATGGTACCAAGATTCCAGGTCATTTTTATTTTCTCGTTTCTACTCTTCTAAAGGGATTTGGGATAATATGCCTGTACTATTTTTATTAAAAAAAATAGTCCATGTTTGTAATTGTTAAGGTTTGCAAAAGTAAAAATTACTGAGTAAAAAACACACAATTGCAGCAACATTGTTTTTTAAATTTATTATATGGCTAGAATCTGAAGTGTTCTTTGTTAATAATTGTTAATGTTAAGTGTTAATTGTTAATCAGATGGACAGCTTCAAAACATCAGACTTGCCCTCGCTGGTTTGGCTCAGTGGATAGAGCAGTGGCCTGCGGACTAAAGGGTCCCAGGTTCAATTCTAGTTAAGGGCACATGCCCGGATTGTGTGCTAGATCCCCAGTGTGGGGCGTGCAGGAGGCAGCCAATCAGTGATTCTCTCTCATCATTGATGTTTTTAACTCTCTCTCCTTCTCCCTTCCTCTCTGTAATAAAAAAAATAAATAAATAAAACATCAGACTTACTTCTGAAATTCGTGGGCGGATTCAAATGATGCAAAATCATAACTCTGGCAGATCTGGCCAATATGTAGTCTACATTTTTTTGGTAGTATCAGGATTGGGAAAAGTGATTCATTAGAATCTACACAAACTGTCATCAGCGTGTATGATAAAAATCTTAATTTTTCTTGCCCAAATCAGAATTATTCAGGAGGATAAACTTGGAGTAGGCCCAAGTTTGGAATATTTTCCTCCTCGATGTTGAATTTGCTTTCATTGGTAAAAAGAGGTTTCAATGTCTTCAGAAGACCAAGCTGGGGGTAGGGCAGAGGTACTATGGGGCTGAGTGAAAGAGTGGGCCATGCTGTGCTGTAGTTTTTGTGCTTTTAGGAGAATTGCCACATGGCTCTTTCCTCCTAAGAATATAAGAAACGTCAGACTCTGGGTCAGACCCATGGACTCTTCAGTGAAGTGATTTTTTTCTGTCTAGTACCATGGGCTGTTTTATGAAAGAGCATGATGTCTTCTGTGACACCAGCCTCTAAATGTTAGCGGGGGGCGGGGGGTGGTCAAACATTCTGAGCTCTTCTCCTTAAGAACAGAGCCCTTTCATTCAATTCAATGGAACAGGCGTATTGAACCTGACAAATCAGCCTTATGTGAATGACCAGTGACTGCTTTGTTAATTGCAAAGCATATTTTGCCAAATGATATAATCAACAAAGACATACCAAACAGCTTTTGATCCTTTAACCTCCTGGTATTTTTCTTTTTTTAAAAATTTCTTTATTGATTAAGGTATTACATATGTGATTTTATCCCCCCATAAGCCTAACCAATGGACACAGACAACATTTTATTCAAGGTGAACTCACTGGAAATCAGTGGATTGAGCTATGGCCATATTGTTACAGAGAAACCCAATATTTGGTTCTGAAAAAGGGGAAGAGTGGAACTAACTGTGGCATTTGCTGACACATGATGAAACTGAGGACGTAAATTGGGTTTATTGACCAGGATATGATCAGGGGCAGATTTAGCTTTGAGGGTCAGGATTGTGGAGGTAAATTATAGAATCAAATGGTCCAAGGTTTAGGTGGAGCCTACTCAACTTAGCTAGAGCACATTTTATACTCATCGATGCTTTTAGATAGATGATTCTTTTTCATATTTAAGTGTATCCAGATTAGGGTTCCAAGTAAAAGTGAGATCCTTGTGTAGTGCTGCTAGTAGATTATAGGACTAATACTTGCCTTATAGACAGACTAGGGTATAATAAACTTTGACTATGTAATTGTGAGGAGCATAATATGGACCATGTATTATAATAGTGTGGGATGATGGCAGTTTTTTTTTTAAATGCTCCTATTTTGAGAATTACTGCATTAGATTATAGTAGTTTTAAATGAAGCCACATTTCTAACAAGGGACCAGAAAACAAGAAAAATGAAATCTGCAGACAGTCTAGAACAGCCGTGGGCAAACTACGGCCCACGGGCCGTATCGTTTGAAATGAATAAAACTAAAAAAAAAAAAAGACCGTACCCTTTTATGTAATGATGTTTACTTTGAATTTATATTAGCTCACACAAACACTCCATCCATGCTTTTGTTCCGGCCCTCCGGTCCAGTTTAAGAACCCATTGTGGCCCTCGAGTCAAAAAGTTTGCCCACCCCTGGTCTAGAAGCTTCATTTTAGCCATTATTTATCATCTCTTCTACCAAACCTTTTATTAAGTTGCAAAGTTGATTAATTTGCATGTATCTCTTTTTTGTGCCCACATGCTCTGATACAGGAGTGAACAAATAGAAAAATGGACAAGAGAAGAAAGAGGATGGGGCTGAGGCCAGGTGCAGTTGGGGATGCATAGTCCCCAAACTGAATAATCAACCCCAGAATAATCAAGATATGTTTTAGGGCCGTAGCATTAATCTTAATATTTAATCATTCTGGGTGATATTAAAAACAAAAGATTGTATAATACTATTAATAAAAATCATTTGCTATGAAATGATTTAGAATAAATATGGCTTTCTTTTTAGCATGAAATGTGAATCTATTGAACTGGTCTTAATGTTCCCTCAGCACACATAGATACAGCTCTGTTTAATTCCATATCCTCTTAACTATAAGTACTACATTTAATTTACTACCATTCTAGTTGATTTATAGCTTTGCTTAGCAAAAGCACAGTCTTGATTAAAAGGATATTATCACAGCTGATGGACCTTGAAAGCATTTTTTCCTCAGACCTTGTAATAATTTGATGACCTGCCTACTCCGATAAGGCTAGATTTGTAAGTCTCCAGTTTTTGCCCACCTGGCTGTCCTTGGGGCAATGGTAATTAGGGGTATGTTTGATGATGTCGTTTTCCCATACCAATACCTCCTTATCCATCCTGAGAAATGGAAAGTTACTGTGATAGAGTTTTAGAGTAAGTTTGCTTCAGGGAATCCCAATTCCCTAGTTAGCTGTTCTCTTATGTAGCTCAGAATTACAACTATAGCCTTTGTCTCTTGGGATGAGGCTGGGCTGAAGGATCCTCCAATCTGTCTAAGGGAAGATTCAATTATTATACATAAGGGTTATATTTTGGAGTTGCAGCTTTGACAGATGCCTCCCTCAAAAAGTACAGAATTAGTTTCGTGCTCATTTCAGTGGAGATGACTTAATTTGCAAAGCCAGTGATTTCCACAGGTTGGCCAGATTTGGTCATTCTCCACAGCAGGCTATTTTCCACTCTCCTGTTTTGATTGCGCAGTATGACTATTTGGTGGCATCTGTGGTCCTAGGAGTAAGGAAAATGCTGTTGCTCAATAGGTGACAAAAAAAGCTTTTATGGGCAGAGCAATGGCGGCGCCCCAGTGCAGGGGTGAAGGCTTGTTAGCTGCGTTCCTGGCTCCACCTAGGACGAAGCTTATGCCTTCCATCCAGGCCCCAGGGACCCTGGGGACAGGCCAGCAGCTGTGAGGAATGGAGGAAACAAAATCCTGAAGGAATTAGATGAGTATTATGAGAAGTTTAAACGGGAGATGGATAGCAACCAGAAGAGGAGAGTGTTGCACTGCATTCAGAGAGCCCTGATCTGGAGCCAGGAGCTGGGCGACCAACGAGAAGATCCAGATTGTGAGGCAGATGGGGGAGCTGGTGGAGAACAGGGCCAGGCAGGTGGACAGTCACGTGGAACTCTTTGAGGCACACCAACAGGTCAATGACACCACTGGCCATAGTGGCAAAGCTGGCCAGGATAAGTGCAAGAACAAGACAATCACACAGCGAGAAAAGCCAAATAATAAGAGGTCTCGGAGACAGTGCAACAATGAAAATCGGGAGAATGCAGCCAATAATCATAACCATGATGAGATCACCTCAGGAACGCCTAAGGAGAAGAAAGCAAAGGCCTCCAAGAAGAAGAAACACTCCAAGGCCAAAGCAGAGAAGGAAGCATCCCCTGCAGACCTTGCCATTGACCCGAATGAGCTCACCTACTGTCTGTGCAATCAGGTCTCCTATGGAGAAATGACCGGCTGTGGCAATGACGAGTGCCCCATCGAGTGGTTCCACTTCTCCTGTGTAGGACTGAATCATAAACCAAAGGGCAAGTGGTCCTGTCCCAGATGTCGAGGGGAGAATGAGTAAACAATGGACAAAGCCCTGGAGAAATCCAAAAAGGAGAGGGCTTAATAACAGGTAGTTGGTGGACCTTGCTGAACAGGGAGGAGAACTAAGCCAGTGTATTTATTACATTGCCACATTTGATGGGGCACAAAGACTGTACATTGTATATTTTTAAAGAATGTTAGAAAAGGAGCCATTCCTTTTGTAGGGATAGCAGTGATTCTCTGTTTTTTGTTTTCGTTGGTACACATATGTAACAAGAAAGTGGTCTGTGGATCAACATTTTAGAAACTACAAATATAGGTTTGAATTAAACACTCAAGTGAGTCTCAGACTGATTGTTTCTTTCTTTTTTTGCTGGGAAATTGACTTGGAAGCAACCTAATACATTAAATGTAGAAAGAAAAGATTCATTTAGCTACTGTTGTATTTTAACAAAAAATAATATTATTTCATGAACAAATTTTTTAAAAATTAGCCAAGTTGCTAAATCGTCTTGCTATAATAATGTATGTCCATATAACAATTCAATAAAAAAGATGTCGCCCTAACAGTGGATAAAGCGTCGGCCTGCAGACTGAAAGGTCCCAGGTTCGATTCCAGTCAATGACATGTACCTTGGTTGCGGGCACATCCCCAGTAGGGGGTGTGCAAGAGGCAGCTGATCAATGTTTCTCTCTCATCGATGTTTCTAACTCTCTATCCCTCTCCCTTCCTCTCTATAAAAAAATCAGTAAAATATATTTTTAAAAAAAGATTTCAAGTTTGAAGATTATTTTTTTTAATATATTTTATTGATTTTTTACAGAGAGGAAGGGACAGGGATAGAGAGTTAGAAACATCGATCAGCTGCCTCCTGCACACCCCCTACTGGGGATGTCCCCGCAACCAAGGTACATTCCCTTGACCGGAATCGAACCGGGGACCCTTCAGTCTGCAGGCCAACGCTCTATCCACTGAGCCAGACCGGTTAGGGCATTTGAAGATTATTTTATGAAAAGGTAAATTGTTAAATTTTACATGACATTTCATATTCTGTCATGTTACCCCAAATGGCCAGATTTAAATGATTGGGTACATTTTTTATTATGCCAAGCAGAAATGGTCTAGTCATGGAATTTCAAAATCATGCTTTTGCTGCTTCACATCCTACTGTAGCATATTTAATTTATATAGGGTGTATAAATGTACATTTCCAAGTGAACTTGCATTTGCTGTATTATAATCAGAAGTGCAGCCAGATGCCATTGTGAAATGAAGGTGTGTTCCCTGCTATGTGCATGAGAGCTGTATAAAAGTGACATCAAGAAATAAATGAAACTTAGCTAGTTCCTCTAGTAGTATATTTAATTTTTATCCTAAAAATTGGTACACCAGCAGTTTAGACAAAGCCTTAAGCAAAATTTTGTATTGTTGTTCTCACTTAATAATGAAGTAGAAGTTACATTATTGCCAACAAATAAATGTCAAAAGAGTATATATATTAAGACCAGGGGTTGGAAAAGTATTGCCCACAGGCCAAATGTAGCCCTCCACCCGTTTTTGTATGGTCTGTGAGCCAAGAACAATCTTTACATTGTTAAATGGTTAAAAAAAATCAAAATAATTATATTTTGTGACACATGAAAATTATATGAAATTAAAATTTTAGTGACCATAAATAAAATTTTATCGGCACACAGCCATGCTCATTCACTTAAAAAAAGCTATTATGTTTTTATTCTGTTTAGAGCATTCTCTCCATTGTCCTGATTCCATTGAAAAAATGAGTCACTCTGGTTTGGGCTTTATATCTTCGCAGAATATATTTTTGACCTATAAAATAAGTTATTTCTCACAAAGGCTTTACTTGAAAATCATCATACTTACAGTTCAATTTACAGAAGCTTTCAGTTCAGAATTATATGAACACAGAAAAGAATTTAAAATTGTAAATGTGGTACTAATTCAAAATGGGAGAACTTTGATATTTGTTTCGTATCAAATTTGATGGTGGGGCCTTCTCAAAATACAAAAGTAAATCAATTTTATTTGTGAATAAATCAAATTTTATTTTGGTCAACATGTCTTTCCAGTTTGTTCTTAGCCAGATAATATTCCTATATCGTACAATTGGTCTTAGTAACTCTTTTAACTGTTAACTTATTTGGCTTTAAAATATCTGAAATGTTTGTTGAAGACCACAGAATGTACTCCTATAAAGAAAGGGTTTGTGTTTCTAAATCACCTTGAATTTGCCTAAATCACTTATTTTTTCAATACATGCCTATAATTTGTCAGAGCTCGACTGATTTTTAGAGATTATCTAGTTAATGTAGAATAAAAATTTCTAGGGAGTTTTCTTTTTTCAACCTATACTGCTGAAACATGAAACCTCCTGAAATTCAGATAAACTTTACAGGGACTCCCCCCACCCCCAACCCCCGCCCCATTCCCACCCTATGCCAGTTAAACACCACTGACTTAGTCTAACACTCTCATCCCACAGGTAGGGAAACATTCTTTCTCTCACAGTTTTTATTAGAAACCTTAGTAAGCACCAAAATTCTTTTTAAATTTTAACGTGACAGATTTTTATAAATTGAGTTGGAGATGTAAAATTCACTTCAGTGAATGATGGGAGCATAAATTATTTATGCTGTATATATTTTTAAAAATAAATTATGAAGGATGTGATATTAGTAAAGGGAAAAATCTCATAGTCACTGACCAGAAAGTCAGTATACAGAACCTGTTGCCAATTTGTGATTGTCCCAGTACTGTGTCAGGCACTGGGGAGATTCATAGATGTCCTTTATCCTGGAAATGCCTAAGCACTCATATTTCTCCTCAGCTGTCCGCAGTCATTTCCCACAGGGCATGGAGGCCTGATTGTGTTAGTTTTTAAACAGCTGCCCTGATTACATTTTCAGTAAAAGGGGATTCATAAGAATACTGATAATAAATAGATAGAAGAAATAGCCACAGAGATAGGCTTGAATAAAAAAAAAACATAAGCTGCTCAGAAGATTTGACAGACTCTAATGGATGAGTGGATAAAGACCTGGGGGAAAATGAAATAGATTTTCCAGAGGACCTTTTTATTCCCTGGAAAATTGGAAATTTTCAGACTAAGGGTGGAAGAAGCAAAAGGAGTTTTTATGGATCCCTTTTCCTCTTCTAGACCTTCACATCCATGCATACAGAAAGAGTTAAGGTCTAAGATTTCAGTCATCTGCTCTGCAAAGAAGCCTCTTCCCTGGGTAAAATGTTTTACCTGACCTTATATCTTCCCTTTAGTACCTTGGACAACTTCACACTCCACTTGGGGACCATTGATCTAAAGCAACTATAGATTTGGGAGAACAGAATGGAATTGTTAAGCTTTTAAAATTTCATTTTTATTATCAATGTTTAAAAACATACTTTTTATTATCTTTAGCTCTATATACACTGTTCTATGTAAAATACATGGGGAAAGGACAAATTCCTTTTCATTGGATGCTAATCCAAGGAAAAATACATTACTTTTAAAACATATTAGCAAGTAATTACCCACACTGACTTAGAATACTATCTTTTTTAGGGCATCACCTAAAGTTTGTTTCACATAAAAATGTTATAGTAGTCTCTGGGTTAGTGTAAAAGAAATTGCAAAAATGCCTTGCCCTGAGTGATTAGAAACCTTTATTGCTCTTAAGTTTAGCAAAAATATGTGAAGGCAGTGATACAGATAGACAGCGAGGGTTTGCCACTGGCCCACTTTAAACAATAATACATTTTTTAAAGTATAAATATATTTAATGATTGATGATCTAGGATCTGGTTGTTAGTTTTTTTCAGTCTGATCTGTGTTGCTTATATACATGTAATTTAAGGTTATGTATGTCTTATTCTACACACAGCCCCAGAATGGTTGTTCTGCTTCCAAACAGAATAGCACAGCCTGGCACATGCTGGGCACACACAAGTAAATGTTTTCTGTTTCATGGCTATTATAATGGCTTTCAAACCCAAAGTCCGTACTTGAATTATAACTGTCTAGTCTCTTTAAGACTACACAGTTTGGGAAAGGAGTCAGCATCAGAATGCTTGTTCTGGTTCCAAACAGAAGAGAGTAGTCCAGTTTGTGGTGGGCATATACAGATCAGTGTTTTCAGTCTCCATAGCTATCATAATGCTTTTCAAACCCAAAGCCAATACTTTTGGAAAGAGAAAACCGATATGCCCTTCCAAAACCAAGGGGGAAAGCAAGAACTGCATTCTCTTAAAAGTAAAATTTTAACTTTTTCTTTCTGTTTCTATGAAAAAGATTGTACTAATAAAACTGCCAATTTCTTTCAGGTGGGTGTACATGGCATTAGAATAGAATTCATCAATGAAAAAGGATCAAAACGCACCGCCACCTACCTACCGGAGGTTGCAAAGGAGCAAGGTCATTGTTGTACTTTATTTCATATGATCTCGTGAAGAATTTAAACAAATACACAAATTGAAATACAATATCTGACCTTGCAGTTATGTCTGATAATTGATCAATGTCAAATTATAAGAAACTTCTGTCACAGCCACTGCAATGTCTGTATGAAATAGGTTAATTACACAGAAGTTGAATCTCTGCACTGAAGTTTGATAGCAAAAACACACCAAAGTATACTTTTAAAAAACCAAAGATTTGTAAAAGCTGGGTGTTACTTTAGGCATCAGTTTGCTATAAATTTTAAGAGCCATTTTCCCATATCCCATTGTGCTACAGCCTTGTGTGGTATAAACAACCCTTTGGTGTGACAGTCAGCCACACAGTTCATTGTCAGTATCAAACATTTCATTCTTAGGTGGTTGTCATTACTCATTCTGCTCCTGTTAAGATTGCAGGTTTGGAGCATGAGAATACATGAAGTAGTGTTTTATATACTTGATCTTCATTTCTAAGTCAACAGACGTTTTTCTATTTTGCAGATAAAACACAAACCTTTATGAACCACCACTGTAACACAAAATAACTTTCACTCTGTAGTATTTTGTCCTTTCTAGCCACTACTAAATTCTAGTTTCATGTTAGTTGAAATGAATATATCTTCTTCACAGTATGGAGCTTCTTGTTTCATCAGAAACTATTTGTAATTTGATTTTCCTGTGTTTAGCTTATAAATATGTGAGATACATAACAGCAAAACTTAATATAATTCAACTCCCAACAAGAGAGTTAGTCTTTAAGGCAGCTATCTGAGTATTTGTTAAGTTGCTTTCAAAAATGTCTTAATCATGTAGTTCCATTGACTTTATAAAGCATTCATAAAAGATAGAGGGCCTCAGATATTAATATATTATTCTATGTCAGAACCAACAAAAATGCCCTTGAATATTGCACCCAATACACTTGGTTGATGATAGAA